AGCTCCCYGCAGATGGGTCTGAAAGAGGCTTTTATTAAAAACATTTAATGCTGTTTTGTTCAGTTCGGGGCTTTTTCAGGGCCTTTAAGAACAATTTATGGAGTAACCAGCTCCACGRAAAGGTTTTTCCTCTGAAGGAATTAAGAGGTCTTGGCACTGCGAGAAGCCTGAGAGGCAGAGGCGAAAACACCCAACAGCCAAARCACAATTCCAGGAGTCTGGAAGCACAGAAAATCATGGAATCCAGGATATTGGGGGCTTTGGGATGAGAGCAGTCACAGGAACGCACCATTTGTCCCTCAGAGACAGCAACAACTTCTGCTGCATCAATTTTTGTTGAAAAGGAAAATAAATTCTTTTAGGATTTATTATTTAGGAGGAAGGGCAGGGGTGGGGAGGGGAAGCAGCTTGGGACACAGCTGCTGCAGCTGAGCATGGGGCAGCTCCCTGGAAACCCCAAAGAGCCCCAAAGAGGGCAGAGATCCCCTCTGGAAGCTCCACGGCTCAGAGCAAAGCTGGGAGGAGATGCACACACCCCAAAATCCAAGGAAACAGAAAGTTCCATGATCCCTGTCCTTTTCCTAATTCAGCATCCAAAGGAATGGCGGAATATTTTTAATTTAGTGGATTTTAGGAGTCCAGAGCATGGAAGTTGTTGAGTGGAGAGCCCGGATCACCCAAAACGAGCAGGAGCGTCCGGCTGCTCTCCAGGATCTCTCCAAGGACCTCCACACCAGTCAGAGCTGGGAAAGATTCCTGCCAGCCCAGGTTTGGGATGGGAGAGTGCAACACATTGGGAAAATCCGGGAATTCCTCTGGAAATTCCAGGCTTAATCCTCATTTGCCACTGGGTTTAACTGCAACACTTGATAACCACACAACCGCCTGATCCCAACTCTCCTACCAGGCTAGATGTCGAGACTGGCATTAAAATGATGGAATCCTGGGTTTGGAAAAGGTCCTAAATCCCATCTAATGTCACCCCTGCCATGGGCAGGGACACYTCCCACTGTCCCAGGTGGCTCCAAGACCCAGTGTCCAACCTGGCCTTGGAAAGTCCATTCCAGCRCCTCCCCACCCTCCCAACCAGGAATTCCTTCCCRATATTCCATGCAAATCTCCTCTAATTCAGCCTTGATTGAAGCAGCGTTTATTTTTGTGTCCTGTTTGTGTCTCCCAAGGCTCTCTCCTGGTCCCCATGTCCAGGATCCGAGCCGTTCCCAGTTCCCTGATGCAAAGCAGAGCCGTGGCCTGGCCGCGATCGGAGCGCGCGGCTCCAAACTGGAACGAACGAGACCAAAAAATTAAAAAAAAAAAAAAAAAATTTAAAATAAAAAAAAAAAGGGGCATATTTCATCCTCCTCTTTTGTGGCTTTTATTTTCTTTTGTATTCGCTTTGGGAATAACATTCTTTCCATTGGGAAGAGCCTGATTTTCCATTAAATACAAAGCAGCTGCCATTTTGGAAACAAAAAGCTGATTAAATGCAGATCCTTTTTTTTTTTTTTTTTAATTTTTTCCCCTCTCTTATGAAGAGCAAGAACCACGTTTGTTTCTGCTGATTTATCGGGGCAAAGCTGCCAATTACGGCAGCAGGAAAACTCAAAGAGAGGGAATTGAATCGAAGCGCTCCGTCTTCCCGGAATAATTTTATAATTACAATTTGATGTTGGAAAAGAGGAGGAAGATCTCAAAGTCTGGAGAGGGGGGCAGTGTTCCTGGGGGGTTCCTCGCCCCGTGCACGCACAGGGATGCTCCGGATTCCCCGCTCACGCAGATTCCTGCCGTCGGCACGCCGCGGTGACGCGCGGCGCCCGGAGGGACCCAGCTGTCGAACAGACCGGAGAAGGGACGAGCTCCAACCCCAAAATCCCAACCCACCCACTCCATTCATGTCCCATGAGCCAGCAGCGCTCGTTCCAGGAGATCTTCTCTTTTCCAAGAAGATCTGAGTGACCAACGCAAGCAGAGGCCGAACCTTCAGCTCGTTTTGTCTTTTCCCTCAAACAGAATCATATCTTGAACTTCCATTTCAAAATTGAGGTGTCCTATGTGAAAAACAGGGAGAAGGTGGATGAACCAGAGCATGGATGGATGGATGGATGGATGGATGGATGGATGGATGGATGGATGGATGGATGGATGGATGGATGGATGGGGAGAGCTGTAGGATTTCGTGCCTGGTTTTTAATTAACCCACCAGGTTCTCCTGATTCACCACCCTTCATGAAATCCAACAAAAAACCTCGCAGAGATCATGATAATTCCATACAGAATTCCATACAGCTTTTCCTGCTCCCTCCTGCTGTTCCATCGAGCCAAGGCTGCAGGATCCAGGGAAAATCTCTGTGGAAATCTCTGTGATGGCCACAAAATCCTCTTCACCCACACTGGGGGCAGCAACCRTGGCTGGTGGCTCCCGATGACCCCRAGCAYCCAAYYTTTCCATGARCYCTCAAATCCAGCRTCCCCTGCTCRGGGATCCCGAAAGTTAAAGCAATTCCAGGTCAGCCCTGGAATTTGCCCCTGGAATTTGGGCTCCCAGGGATGGAGAGCTTTGGAAGCTGTTCAGGGATGTTCCTTGGCACATTCCCAATTGAAGAGCCTCGGAAGAACCAATGGATCAATAGAGGAAAAAGCAGGAAATTGCAAATCCTATCACTTCCCTCAAAATTCCGAAAGGGTAGAACAATCCCGACCCAAAGTTTTATCTCCTGGTAGGATTTTTGGGAGGTTGAGGCTCTGGAGCAGGAAGGAGAAGGCACGTTTGGATTCCATACCCCAGGGAGGGAATTTTGGCCACCAAATTACCTGAGCCACGCATTCCTTATGGATGGAGGTGCAGGAAAGAGGAAGCATCCAATAGCCTCACAAATCCGGGTTTGGAAAACAAGAATCCATGGCAGCCACCCCCCGGCTTTAAGAATTTATGGGATCAGGCACTTTGGTTTCCATTGATTTTCCAAGTGCTAAAAGCAGACAGGGAACTACAGAATTCCRGAAAACCTGGCTTAGCCAGACTCGAGCTCACCAGAGCTCCTGAGTGACCCAGGGTGGCCCCGTCCAGCACCACAAAATCCCCGGGATTTCGACACTCTGCTCCTCACTTTAAGGCATCACCAGTTCCAGGTTCAACCCCTTCATCCTGACAAATATTGGGGATTTTGGAGATACTCCAAATGCCAGGAAAGGGCTGCTCTAGCTCAAGGCATCTGTGTTTTAAGGAAATTTTGCCCAACTTCAGGCCAAGCAATCCTCTGAAAGACTTGGGTCACGTCAGGAGTAGAAAGCCCCTGACGGAAGATTCTGGATGCTGCTCGTGCCCTGTCCATGTCTCCATCCCAAATTTTTTTACCTTTTAAACTTCCAGGATTAGCCTCACCGACTTCCCACTGGACAAACCTAAAACCCTGCCCTAATTCCTCCTTTGTCCCGCTCCTTTGTGCAATCCCATTTTTATTTTTCCACCTCTTTCAGATGGGCGCGTCCGTGATTTATTCCCGCCAGTTAATCCCGGCCAGGCAGAGAACGGAAAACCGGGAGGGATGAAAGGCAAACTGGGATCTGAACAAACCCAGCTCAGAGCAGGCTGGCAGAGCCCCTCCGCAGGAAGGGATTGCTCCATCCCTGACCCTTTCCAGGGGACCTCCAGGTATTATTTTCCATTGATTTACCTTAATGAAAGTAATGCCCCCCTCTCGGTAGGAAGCTGACTCCAGAGCTGTCTCGGCRCTGGATCCAATTAAAGGAATAAATACATCTGGCCTGGAGGAGCCYGAGGGAAAGGGGCTTTCTGCAGCTCTCCCTCTCGGGCGACGCCCTGAGGACATCACACATGACATCCAACACCGCTCCTGGAAAGCCCCGGCTGCGGGGAGCGCCCGGAGAATCCCGGCTAAACCCGGCTAATCCCGGCTCCGGCACAGCTTTGATGGGAGCCAGCCTGGAACTGCCTTAACTAGGCTCTGTCCTTGCAGAGCTGATTTGATTTGAGCTGATTTGAGCCTCGGTGTTGACTCAGGAACCCCCCAAGCCCGCAAACGCTCCGGGCTCAGCTAAGCTCGGCTTCCAGGGAAAGAGGCGCAAGCATCCTGGATCAGGGAATATCGGCTTTATTCCCGTGGAGAGCAGGGAATAAAGGCTGGGAAGCAGAAGCAGGGCYCATGCTCGCAATGGCACAGCCCCACAGAATTCCCAGGCGGGCTTTGCTCCCGTGGGAATGGGGAAACAAGGTGGCTCCAGAGCCTTTTGTTTGCCACCCATACCAGGAAACGCCGCGGGTTTTCCTCCTGCGTGCGGAACAAGCGGAGATGACAACGACTGCAGGGGGTGTTGAACCAGGAGGAAAGGTCTGAAAGGTCGCTTTGGGGTTTTTTTTTGGTGCTGATTGGCCTAATCTGAACAAGGAGATGGCATATGTTAAGAATACATGTTGTTTTCTGGGTAAAACCATGGAATTGTGGAATGGTTTGGGTTGGGAGGGACCTTAAAGGTCATCCCATTCCACTCCCTGCCACCTTCACCTGTCCCAGGGTGCCCCAAGCCCCAGGGTCCAGTCTGGCCTGGGACACTTCCACCCCAATTGGAGGGAGCCTTAGTTGGCCAATCCCCCAAAYCAGGAGGAGCTTCCAGCTGGAAACCCAGTGAAGGATTTCTCTGAAAGGGGAGATTTCACAGATCTCCCTTTCCAGCGGAGTATGAGAATCCCATCAAACCTTCCCTAATAACAGCCATTTCCCATAATTCCCTGCAAACTCAGGCATTAAAGGAGCCATTTCAGTGCCACATCCACCAAACCAACAATTCAGCGACCCACCGAGAAGGAATCCCTTCCCTTCAGTGTCCAATTGATCCCAGAACTATTTCCCCTATTGATTTGAGCTTTTCATCCATATTTTCCTTTTTTCCTGGTTTACCCTAAGGACCTTTCCTGGTTCAAGCCCCCCTGAGCCTGGAGATGGGAGCAGAGCGGAGCCAGGGCRCGGGACACCGGTACTCACCGACATGGTGGAGTGGACATCGGCCTCCCCCTACGGAGCACAACACAGCACGTCAAGGTCAAAGGCAGAGAGAGGACCCCAAAGGTCACCAGAGGTGCCCACAACCCCCCCGACACTCCAACGACACCGGCAAAGGATTGGAAAAGGAAAATGTGGAACATTGAACCTGTCTGGAAGAGGAGGAGGAGGAGGAGGAGAAGGAGGAGGAGGAGGAGGAAGATAAAGCACCGCCACAGCAGTTGTGTTGTCATTGATCGTCACAGAATCATGGAATGGGTTGAGTGGAAGGGACATTAAAGGGATCCAAACACCTTCCACTGTCCCCAATGTCCAGCCTGGCCTGGGACATTCCCAGGGATCCGGGGCAATCTGGCAATTCCAGCCCAGCCCCTCACCACCCTCCCAGGCAGGAATTCCTTCCCAAGATCCCAGCCCAAGCTCCCCTTTCCCAGTGGGATCCATTCCCTGTGTCCTGTCCCTGCAGCCCATGGCCCCAGTCCCTCTCCAGCTCTCCATGTCCCTGTCCCTCAGCGATGCCACCCTCGAGAGGTGACAGATGCCAGCCCTGGGGGTGACAGCTGGGATCAACCCAGCAGGACCCTCCCACGRGCCAGGGGATGATATTTAGGCACAGACAGGACTTGTTCAAGCCCAGAGGTGGCCCTGGAGCTCCCGAGATGTTTTCCTGACGGTGATTTTCCACTCGGGTCCCTCCCAGCGCGGCCCAGGCTGCGGTTGGCGCAAAGTTCACGGCGCTTCGCTTCCACGCACGGGGCCTCGGCTTATAAATATTCTGGAGGGATTTGACTTTTTCAAATCAAAACACAGGCAATCGTTCTCTTTGGAAAGAAAATAAACACTCGCAGAGCTCTTTTGGGCCAGAGCGAGAGCTGCCGGGGCCGCTCGCTCGCGAGGGGGGGAAGAGATGCCAAGAGAAGGCAAAACCCGCCGCGGCTCCAGCTGAAATCTGTGCCTGCCATCTGGCAAAAATAAGCAGAAAAGGAGGGGGGAAAAAAAGAAAAAAAAGAAAAACGGGGAAAAAAAAAAAAATTCCCTCCGCGGAGGGTTGGTGGTGAAGCACGCGGGTTTGTCGGATCGCTGAAAGATTGCTTCCCCTCGCCGGGGCAGCCTCACCTCCTGACCTGGCCCGGTCCCCTGGCAAAGGAGGTTATCGGGATACAAGACTAACAGAGGATTAAAGGAAACTGAAAATAAAAACACAACAGCCCCCCCTCCCCGGCCCCGGCCCCGCTCCCCTCCCCCAGGAAAACATCCTTGCTTTGTTAACCTGACAGTTCAGGGGAGGTGTTGACACAACCCTCCATCTCCGAGGAGCTTAATGTCAACAAATCAGCGTGTTTGGAGTAGCCCTGTCAGTGCCATTTACATTAACTTGTCCAACAAGAAATAAAAACAACAATCAGCCATCAAAGACAAAAGCCTTTTTCAGTCATTCTTTGCTAAGTCCTAGGCTGGAAATGTTCATTTTTTTGGAGGCCGTGGCCCTTTGCTTGCTGAAAACCAGAAACCACCATTTTTTTTTTTTTTTTCTTTTTTTTTCCCCTCCTAAAATACTTTTTGTACTAATTTTTTTTTTTTTGTCCTTTAAAAAAAGGTTTTTCTCTTAAAGGAGCCCCGAGCATCCCGTGTTAATGAGCTCCATGGCATCAGTGGGAACCGACTCTCCCTGGTTAACGCAGGAAGAGGGCGGCCTCGGGAGCCAAATGTTAATTAYGCTTTGATTCCCATCAGAGTTTCATTTGCTCCGAGACATTTTTGGGCACTTAGTGGAGCGTTTTGGAACCGTGGCTCCAAACCACCATGACCGTTCCATGCAGCCCTGGCACGCACCAAAACCCCGGGAAGTTCTCCGTGAACTTTTCCTGCTCCCCCAGCGCTGGGGAGGGCTCGGCGTCCCCCCAAAAAGAGCAACGGGAAAAGAAATTCCAGGAATGCCCAAAATCCGGTGGTTTTCATCATMTCCCACAATGCCCASTCCAAAGGAAAAATYTGGGATTGCAAGACCTAAAAAAAGTGGAAGCTCTTTTTAGGTCACTCCATGATTTTGGGCTGGGTGYGCACAGAGGTGGTRGAGGCCTCATCCCTGGAAAATTCCAARGMMATGGATCTGGACAACCTGATCCWRTTRRAGATGGTCCCCRCAAAMCTGCAATGTGAAAATAAATGGCAGGATTTCCCAAAATCCAGTGGTTTTCATTACCACCCGCAATGCCCACTCCAAAGGAAAAATCTGGGATTGCAAGAGCTAAAAAAAGTGGAGACTTTTCAGACCGATCCATGAGCCAGAATTTTGGGTTGGGTTATTTTTGCTGGGTRCCCAGAGAGGTCATGGAGGCCTCATCCYGGGAAAAATCCAAAGCAATGGATCTGGACAACCTGATCCAGATGGACAAGTCCCCCCAAAAAATGTGACGTGCAAATAAATTCCAAGAATTCCCGAAATCCAGTGGTTTTCATCGTCTCCCACAATGCCTGCTCCAAAGGAAAAATTTGGGATTGCAATTCCTGCTTGAACTCCAGAGAAAATGGAGACTCTTTAGGTCATGA